GGATGTTGGCAAGACCGGGTCGGTCACCCATGCCAAAGTGTTGGGGCATACCCATATATCTATTTTTCCTCGCTTTTTTTGTACGTGCCGGCCGGCCCATTCCTTTTTTTTCTTGAAATTTTTTTTCAATTATAAGACGGTTTTTTGTTTTTTATCTCTTTATAGAAAAAAAAATTCATTACAGTTCTCATAAGGACCTCTTTGGCATCTAAACAAGGACATATACTAAGAGTCAAGTAATGATCAGTGTCTCCTCAGCGATGAGTCTGAGGGTCTCGACAAAGTTATTGATCAGAGATGGGTACATTTCAGAGAAGTTGGGCCGATTTGATATCATACTCCTTTAAAGCGATGGATCAAATAAACGTGTTCAGGTCATCATACCTTATAGGTATTTAATTTTTTTTTTTTTTTTTGGGAGGGGGGGGGTAATTAGTGACATTTTTTGGATTGGGCCGAAATTTTGTACAAAAATCATATTTTTGTTTTTCTGGAAGGATATCAGGTATTTTTGGTATGACTTCTACGAAGTGTCAGGCAAAGAGAGTTCCCATTTTAAATTTAAAAGTTGTTCCCGGTCCCGAGGCAAAGAGGTAACGACCCCCCGCCCCCCCCCACTCGAAAGCGGCCCACCTTTTTTGAAGGAATTTTCGTTCAAACCGCAAATCAATTATCTGTAATCGTTTTCGAGACATCAATACGAAGGATCCATATTTTTGGCACACCCTGTACGTTACAGACAAATCAATATTGAAATCGTCACAAAGTTGGGTCACTTGACGTAATGCCTAATTTTCATTGGCTATGCAGAGAGATTGGCATAGACAGAGGGTAGGTTATTGTTTTGTTCGGAAATTTTGGATCGGATTTGAGCAGAATATCATCGGAATTTCTCCTGGCTCCTTTCTCTTTCTTTGTCATATTATTTCTGAAATTATTAATTAATAACAATATAAATTCTTGAATGGTTTTCTTATTGTACGCACGAAACGTTTTCAATTGTATGCTGCCTTGAGGAATAATGCTTCCAAATGTGACTATTCTAAATTTTGCATGAATCATGAAGCACTCTTTTTCTAGGTACCTTTTTGGTTGTAAGCGAGTTTTCCTTTATGATTCTCTGATTACTAAGGGAACGATGTGCCTGGGACGAAAAGATGCTACTTACTTTGTTTACTATGTGCATTCCTATCCAGACAACATATAAAATTTTCTTGGTACTTACATTAAATCTTCCCGTGCATAAGGAAATGGTATACAATACAATTTAGTTGTGATGACATAAATATTCTCAACTGCACGCCGATTATTGAAACTATGTCTATGACTTTAAACTTTCAAAAATCGGCCTGCTGCAATGAAACGTTATGATAACTTCATCATTATGATTCTCCTTTTGCCCATTCCGGTCAACAGAGTCCACATAGACCTACTGATTTTAAACGCGCAACAGGGTGAAAGGGAGAGTGCCAGTTTAGCTCATAATGGATTTACTTTCAATGATAAAAGTGGGTGAATGTGTCAGGCAAGAACCCTGATAATCAACAATTTCAGAGCTGCTTTTAATAAAGGACTTCTATGTAATGTTCCATCTCCTGTGTACATTAGGTACACAAAACCAGGATTTACAGTAGAGACATCACCTGTGTTTAGGGATAATTTTTGTATCTGCCGATGCTGGTCATACAGAGTCGACAGCGATTGAGTTTCAATGCGTTACCAGGGTACGACGAAGAATACCATTTTATTTCTTGGTTTTACTTTCAACAACATTTCATTTTTATGAGCCTGTATCTGCCAAGTCTGGTCATGTAGAGTCGGCAGCGATTGAGTTTCAACACGTTATCAGGGTAAAATGGAGAATACAATTTTGATTCTTGGTTTTACTTTCAAGGATGGAAAAAAACAGTCCATTTTCTGTCACACCTTCAGGCATGAACTTTTCAGCTAAGGACTCAAATAAAGGACAAAATATGAGTCACTTGGCATGTATGATTCTTCTGTATTGGTCCGTCCCTTTCGCACGGTAGACCGAGAATCAGAGGTTAAAGTAAATACATCACCTATACTCAAGGCTTAATTTTATATTCTACCCTATGTGATCCCTCTCATATGATTCTATGGAGCGAATGATTTTGCCGGTAAGTTAATTATGTAGAGCACCATTATATCTATGCTGGGAATTGCCAGGAAGATCCTGCAACCATCCGATTAAGGTAACTCTCACATCAATACAGCGGCGGGCAAAATAAGTAGTTATCAATATTTTATGTTTTATGAGAGATTTCTCAACTTGGGGATTCACTCCCCACTCTCCGTCAAAGAATATGCTCTGTTGATGTTGTCGCAGCCCAAAATATTAATCACAACTAATATTTTTTGTCGCCTCAGTCTCAATCGATAGCTTCCATTATTCTGCCAGTTCTGGTCATCCAAAGTCATCTTATGAGTTTTAATGCACTTTCAGGGTATGCCAGAGAATTAATTCTTGTATCCATTTTCCGAGCTAAATGAGACAGCTAATTTTCTGTCGCACTCTCTTAGTGGGTAAATTAGTCAGGCGAGGACTCAGATAATCTAGAGATCAGGAGGCACTGATGTTTTATATTGAGCAGCCGCTCTGTATTATCTCCTATAAGTGGTAAGCAGTGGCGGCAAGTTTACGTCTCCAGGTACTGCAAATTTTAGCCGATGTATAGAGAGGTTATCGTCAAGGATATTTTGCATTAATTAGCATCTCAATTTTATCAAACCAATGAAATAGTGGCATATAGACACATACCTTCTGCAGAGGTCAATATGAAAGACCTTGATTTGAAGAATTTTATCCAAATACAAGCAAATTAGACAATTCAATTAACTTCTGACACGGAATCAAAGAGACTTCCTAATAATTAAATTTACAGTAATGTTTGAAGTCAAGTATCTTTGATTTTGGGGCATTGAGTTGGTTTCATTATACTCGTTCAACAAAGGGTAACAATGGAGTGAAGCATAGCTTCTTTAAGTAGACACATACGCACAACTGACGGGTGAATGTGAAAGGCAGTTTTCCAATATAAAGCATTACAATTCTATGGAAAAATTTAGGCTTTATGCACCAGTAGCATGATACACTGAGAAGAGACACATCAACTCCAGAGGAATTCGGCTGCTAGCAAAATTTTAGGAGAAAGTGGAAACGCAACTTCATCCCCACAGATTGAGACCCCGACAGACATCATCGTATTGAGAGGAAGGATGATTTTCTGGGGGATAGTTGCTGAATCTGATTAACGAGAAATAGTATCTAGGACTCACTATAGTGGAATATCATCAATCATTCATGAACAATTGCTTGAAAAGATCACGGGATCAGGGTAGATCAGGGCCGCTGGGAAGAAATAACAGGTTGCGATCTGAGTAGGTACTTACTGTGACGACTAAAGAGCTTGATGCAAAAACGGCTTTTTTCGCCCCCCTCTGGAAGTTCTTCAAACTTTGTCTATTGATTACTCATACTTGAGCGCTTCTTTTCCCAAATTTTCAGACCCCCAAAAAATTTTGGGGGGGAGCTAGGGGGGGTGGAAGTCAAAACCTATGAACGTCGATATCTCTTGAACAAAGAAAGATATCGAGGTCCGGTTTGGACGAAAAATCGTCTAAAATTGCATACTTTAAGATTCTAAAGGTCGAAATCCCGATATCACATTTTTAAGTCAACATATGTGCTTTTTTCCAGTTTTTAGGTCTAGAAAATTTCTTTTAAACGAAAAATTTACGAAGATCTCAATTTTTTATTTGAACCAAAACCAGTTTTTTAAATTGTTCGTCTTTTCCCGCATCCAACGAGTGGTCCATTAAGCTGGGGAACCAAACGGTTCCGGAGTTATGATCGATTGAAGTTTCCGCTCAACGCGCGCCGACCGATTTTCGCGCGGAAAATAGTCGGATTTGACTGTTATTAGATCAGATTGAATGTTCAAACTGAGCAAAATGCTTTATTAGGGACTCTTGAGGGTCACTGAGTTCATTCATTACCGATACTTCCAAAATATTCACGTTTTTAAAATTGCAGCTTCGGACAGGACCACTGAGCGGCCGGTCGGCGCTCAGTGGGCCACTAAAATAGCGCTGCGGAGCTACTATTAGTAAATTGCCACTATTAGGGAACGCGTCGGCCGATTTCGCTGAAATTCAATAGGAAATCAGTCTTAGTAGATACCTAACTACCATCAAAATTTCAGCTCAAAATATTCATTTTTACTCGAGTTATCGCGTGGACAAAATTACACCTCCCCCCATTTTGACCCCTCGCTGTGAGACAAGTAATTAACGTATTCCGATTTTTTCTTCACAGTTTCAAAGTACTCTTAGCGGACTATAAACCCCAGAAGTTTCGTTTCAAGAAACTTAAAAATTAACTGCCACTCAACGCTCTGAAAACTGAAAAATCCTCACGCTGGCTGAAATACATACATACATACATACATACATACATACATACACACATATATACGACAGAAAATGAATGACATACATATTCGTGATCTACGACTTGAAATCGGTGCTCTTTACATGGTCCCAGGTCTAGGTCCCACCATGAGGGAGAACGCAATAGTGTATCTTTCCTTCGGAAAATACACTAAAAGGTGGGCGTTACGAGTAGAGCTAAGCATATTCTACCCAAATATTATAGGGTTTTTGGGGTTTACTCTACGACTTAATTAGCAAGAGAGCTAAATGGACCGCAAACCGTGCAGAAAAGCCCGATCGAGTTGTTTCGTGTATAACTAGTTAGGCAGCAGCCACCCGTCGGTTTTTTTTTTTTTTTTTCATTTGGTCTCGTCATTTTTTAGGGGGAGTTTTTTAGGATTGGGCCGGGGTGGCTACCGCCACCTAGAATTCACTACAATGCCAATTCAACTATTATTGACTTGTTTTGTTTCCAAGAAAGTTTCTATGGCCTTGCAAACGCCCTGAAATTGAAGGTAAATAAAAAAATAAGAATAAATTCTTACCTCATAAAATATCCACGAACTAAATACTGTTTGAAATGCGTTGTAGACAATTAAAACATTTCTAAGATCAAAAGGTTTCCTATTTTCCATCAATTTAGGTCCGAGAACTTTGGAAAAATAGGCGTAGAATAAACACATAAACAAGGTAGGGAAGGGACTAGACATTAAAAACCAGCTGTTCACCCTAGGATCTGAAACAGACAAATTGAAGAACACGATTAGATCAAATTGAAGGGGCTTCAGTATTGGAAAAAAAAAAAAAAAAAAAAAAAAAAAAAAAAAAATGAGCTCATCTATGTCACCATGATATATCCAATCATTTGCTCCGAATAAAAAACTTCTCAGTTCACAGTCGATGACCTGATTTTCTGACTTTTCCCTTTTTTCATCGTTTTGTCATCACTCCCTGACATCCCAATTTCCAGATTTTCCTTGAAACTTGCAACCCTGAAAAACCTGATAGTTCGTTTGTTCGTTCATTTCGGTTTGAAATTTAATTCAAACAAATTAATCGATTCGAGGACGTCAAAACTACGATTATCTCAATTTGATGGACTTTCGGATCTTCATCAGAAAGGAGCCCAGTTTCATAAAAGTGGAGCCCCCAAGCATCACTACGCAGCTGGCTCCTTCCACTAAATTGATCTCATTCACAGGAAGAATCTGGAACGGAACCAATTCTGCACTACTTTGTTCCATTCTTCAAATTGATTTCATTCTTTTCGCATTCAGGAGAAAGGGACCAAATTTTCAAAAGTGTAAAAGAATAATGTCTTGTATGAATTTTGACATTCATGTTAAGAAATAAACGAGAGAAGCTCTTGTGGTTCAATTTGAAAAGAAACAAAACATTTTGACCCAAAAACTTCACAAAATCTCGAAAGTAAAAGAGGAAAACATCGAGCACTCACGAACTCACATTCTCATTATCTCCTACGTATGAAATTGGTGGAGATTTAGCCGTTGGATGGGTATAGTGAAGAGGGGTGCAATAAGGAAGCCCTCGCTCGGCGATCCGACCGTCCGTCCGCGTGCACGGCCGCGGATCTACCCGTCAGAAATGCATTAGAGCGATCCCACGAAACCGTCACTCGCGTATTAGCCGTTTCGAATTCGTCGCATGTAGCAAGCAGTAGCACAAAGGACCCCAGCCACCTCTCATGGGAAAGTGCACCATGACGGATCCTTATAACGGATCCTACATGTCGTCCATGTAGCTTCATGATTTTCGAAGCTCACGTAAAAATGGATATGAAACCTTTGGTTACCTAGAGGAGCGAAGATTAATGGCAATTGTCAGGGATTTAAATCGGGATAGGACCGCCTATCCCGGTCTAGGGATGCGAAGGGAGTATGCGTTCCCTCGAGGTTAGTGTTCGAAACTCACCTCTGAGTTTTAGGAGCCATGTGGCGCATCAAGCCCGATTTTTAGGCGCCATTGAAGATTTTTAGGGGCCAAACTGACTTTTTGCCTATATATTACGGCGCATTAAGGGAAAAGTTAGACGCAAGATGTTTTCGTATATAACAGACCTAGTAAGTGGCTGTAACTTGGGGAAGACAAAAGCACTAAGGATGAAATCGTGAAGAATGGAAAAATCTTCACTCGTTATGCTGAAAATTTCGAATAATCACCTAATATGAAAATTCAGATATTTAAGGGGCAATTTTTAGGGGCCACGTTGGCGTAGATCCTTCATTTTTTAGGCGCCATGGCCGATTTTGTAGGCGCATTTGGCGTGTTGGCGCCTGTGAGTTTCGAACACTGCTCGGGGTGGCTTGCGGCTCTCTGTGCGACGCATGTGAGAGGCAACTATATGACAGATGACGAGGGTTAAGGTACCTCCAACCCGCCAAATAGTGCTAATTATTCTGATTTTCCAGCGCTCTTCCTATCTGGGACAGACTATAATGTGTTGATGGCATTCGATTCTCCTCAAGATGCTTATCAAAAGTTATCATTGCGCCAACTTCCTCCAATGCACCATTTTCGCAAGGAACGGCCGAAAAAAAAAACTGTTCCGCGACAATGAATCAAAATGAACAAAGCATTTGACTTACAATTAGAGACATGCGGGGAAGAGGTGAATAGAGCGGGAGAGAGAGAAACTGATTTGGATGGTCGAGCAAAACGGCGTGCGGAATCCGAGATAAGACTGTCCCTCGATTAGTCAATTCTGGAGTTCCTCTGATTTCCTTTTTGACACACAGCCGACCGTTCACTCAAGTGCTGAAATGGGTAATCTTTCTGGCTTTTCATCGCCAAATAATTGAATCTTCTCGGCCGTTTGTTGCGAAAACGGTGCATCGTAGGAAGTTGGCGCGATGATAACTTGTGATCAGCATCTTGAGGAGAATCGAATGTCATAAACAAATTAAGAATTCGTCATGGTACACTTTCCCATAAGAGGTGTGCGGGGTCCTTTGCCTTGATCCCACGGTATACTCTTGCCCTATTCAGGCACCCAAACGGCGAAGTTTTGCGAGTGAATTTGATCGACTTTTTCAACCAGATCGGCAGAGTTGCAAACCAAAGGAGAAAAACCCTCTGATGCTGCGTGCTGTCAAGAGCTAAACTCAGCTGCTTGATGAATTTTGACCTACATTTGCACTCATCCACTTTTCAAAGCACCTCGGGAGGTGGGTCGAGAATTTGGGATGCGGGTCATCAACGCTGCCAGCATGAAAACCAAATGTTGTAAGCGCACCGTTGCCCGGGGGNGGGGGGGGGGTATTTCGTTCCTTAGTAAGGTTGGCAGTAAGTTACAAATTTTGACCAAATCCACTTCCGAAAATCGACAAAACGCTCACTTGCGTTGGTTTCGATTCAGTCTTGGCGAGAAAGTTGGAAACAGTTGTCTAATCCTGCAATATTCGATTCTCATGGCACTGATGTCCCCAATGTGCCGACCAATTTTTTAAAAAAAGTTCACGCGCAGCTGATACCCTGACGCTCCTTTTCATTCTTATTCAGCGTACGGGATGTCAGCCCTGGATATAACTTGCTTATCTTATAATCTGAAATCCTTGATTTTTTCTCGTCAAATTCATGAGGAGTCTGGACTCAAGATCCAATAGACTATTTTTTCCAGGGCATAAATGGGTTCCATAGGAGGGGTTTTCCAGGGTTCAAATGTTTTGAATTTTAGAATTTTGTCAGCTTTTGGGGGAAGACACTTTGAGGGCTTACGTTGATTTCACGCGAAAAATAAATCTAACTTAGGAAAAGTACACGCTTTCTTGGGATGAGGTCCACAGAATGCATTTACCGAGATGAGACTCGCGCGCAGCGCGAGCTGGCTGCTATAGTGGAATAAACGAGAAATTCTAAAATAAGAAGATCAATTTTTTAGGGCTAAACTCGATCTGCATCAAATCTGTTACGGATGCAATTCCAATCTCGCATCCCCACGACATTGAAAACAGTGGCTCCTACTTGGGTCTCAACTTTCGAACTCAATGACACCCCTTCTTTTTTCCCCTTCCCAAACTTCGGGGACCTCCTTCTCCGCAGGTGACGTGCAGCAATGCAATTGAGTTGGAGCAAGAAAGTTCGACTTGGACAAGGCTAATTCCAGCGCACTGCAGAGCCGGTAGGGCGTGGAAAAAACATGCAATACACCGATACATGGCTCGGGCCTGCACTGCTGCCACTGTTCAGGAAAAACGCAGTGTCTACATTAGAATGCTGTTGAGTTTCCCTACGGTAAAATATTTGTAAGCATACACGCCTACGGGAAAAGTCACGGCTCCCTGAGAGGAATTTCCTTGACTGTCCAACTGAATTCCAATTAGAATAATAAGATATGACTATGAGTGAATTCCTTAAAGGAATGGTTCGTAAAAAGAGTGATAGTTCTTTACGCATATTGAAATCGGGAGGGGGAGGGACTCACCAAAATCGGACGTAACTTAGAAGGCCAGGATCAGTGTTCGAAACTCGCCTTTGCTTTTAGGAGCCATGTGGCGCATCGAACCCGATTTTTAGGCGCCATTGAAGATTTTTTAAGGGCCAAATTGACTTTATGCCTACAGACAGGGTGTCCCAGAAGTCCGTAACCCCCCTCCCTCGTAACTTTTGAACGGTTAGAGATACAAACACGAAATTCTGGGAATGTTTCTGGGGACCATCTTCGAGGGGGGTCAAAAGAACCCCGCACAGAGCATGGGGTCAGCGGCTCTCGGTGAAAGTCGATGAAACTTTAATAGATTGATATAAAGTTCATAATTAAGGGAAAGCCAAAGAATTAGCTCACTTGTGCGAGTAGGAGCCAAGATATTCGCAATTGAATCCCGACTATTTTCTATCATGCCGCAGCATGGCGGAAGAATTCCGAGTCCCCTCTCCTCTCGTTGTTCGGCGTTCTCGATCAGACCTCACGTCAATCACGTGAAGATAGGTGCTTATGCGCTCGGCCGCCGGCCGGTGCGAATGCCATATTCCGTCCCTCTCCCCGCATCTGTCAATTCTGTTTCAGCAACTACATTTCAGATTAAACCGACCGCCGGCGGCGGCGCCGACACGGGAGAAATGCGAGAGGCAGGGAACTCCATATCGCACAGCCCGAACGAAGCGTCCTAATCAAAGGAGTGAGTGTAAAAAATGCGACATCGTAGTTATCTGGTGGGAAGAGGGGGTTTTCTGGCCGAAGTAAGGAAGGTAAGGCGACACGGAGAATTTACCTCCGCCGCACAGAAAATAGTCCGGGTTCAATCGCGAATATCTCGGCTTCTACTCGCAAAAGTGAGCTAATTTTTTGGCTTTCCCTTAGTTATGAACTTTAAATTAATCTATCAAAGTCTCATCGACTTTCATCGAGAGCCGCTGATCCCATGCTCTGTGCGGGGTTCTTTTTGTCGCCCCCTCAGGGGGGGGGGACGCGGGGGCCCCCAACTTCTTTTTTTCAAATGGTAATCCCTATCTCGTGATGCATCATTCGAAAGAACATAATATACTAAGAATTTTGGCGGAAATTGCAGATCAATATCCTAATTTTTGACTGAGTTGTGATAGGTCAAAGGTCAAATTTGACCTACTTTCAAAAAAATCATAACTCCGGTTCAAATTATCGTAAAGAAAAAAATAAAACGGGAAAATTTACCAAATTGTAGGCACTTTCAAGTAAAAATCACAGAAATTACTTCAAACTAATTTTAAGGGGTGTCTCGGACTCCTGAATACGTCATTTTA